CATGAGAGGGGGGAGGGTCAGAGGGAGAAGCAGACTCCCCGCCGAGCAGGGAGCCCGATGCGGGACTCGATCCCGGGACTCCAGGATCATGACCTGAGCCGAAGGCAGTCGCTTAACCAACTGAGCCACCCAGGCGCCCCCCCATCTTAACCATTTTTAAGTGAGCCGTTCAATGGTGGTAAATACATTCATGATGTGCAGCATCAGAGTCCCTGTCGCCTTGTGAAACACTAACTCCCCACCCCCTCTGTCCCCGTCATCCTGCTGCCTCTCATGTTTGGACGACTCTAAGTATGTAATGTAAGGGGAATCCTGCAGTATTTGTCTTTCTGGGATGGGCTTATCTCACTGAGAGCGACGTCCTCAAGCTTTGTCCACGTGGCAGCAGGTGTCGGGACTCCCCTCCTTGTAGGCGTAGATCACATTGTGCTCATCCGGTCATGCCCAGGTGGACACCTGGGTTGCTCCCGTGATTCAGCAATGGTGGGGGACACTGCATTGACGTGAACATGCACATCTCTCTTCAGGACCTTGCTTCCCATTCCTTTGGGCACAGAACCACAGCAGAACTACCGGATCATCTGGTAATGCTGTTGGTAACGTTCTGAGGAACTGTCGTCCTGTTTTCCACAGCAGCTGCCCCGCTTTAGACTTCCAGCAACAGTGCACGGGGGTTCCAATCCATCCACATTCTCGCCAACACTTGGTGTGTGCTTGTTTTCGAGAGTCGCCATCCTCACGGGTGTGAGATGGGGTCTCACTGCAGCTTTGATTTGCATTTCCCACCTGATTAGTGATGCCGAGCATCTTTTCATGGACTCGCTGGCCATTTGTGCATCTTCTGTGCAGTAATGTCTATGGGGTCCTTTGCATATTTTTGGATCAGGTTGTTTTTTGTTTCTTTGGTCTTAGACATTCTCTGCATATTCTCGATGTCAAACCCTATCAAATATTCAATTTGTCTATATCTTCGCCCATTCTGTGGGTTGCGTTTTTACCTGATGATACTGTCTGATGCACATTAAGTTTTCATCTTGTCCAATATGTCTATGTTTTCTGTTGTCTGTGCCTTCGATGTCCTACCCAAGAAATCACTGCCAAGTCCTATGTCGCTAAGCTTGGGCCCTATGCTTTCTTCTAAAAGTTTTATGGTTGGGGAACCTGGGTGGTTCAGTCAGTTAAGCATCTGCCTTCGGCTCAGATCATGATCCCAGAGTCCTAGGATCGAGCCCCAGATCAGCTCCCTGCTCAGCGGGGAGCCTGCTTCTCCCTCTCCTGCTCCCCCTGCTCGTGTGCTCTCTTGGTCCAAATAATTAAAATCTTTAAAAAAATAAATTCAAAAAATAAAAATTTCAGGACACCTGGGTGGCTCAGTCAATTGAGCGTCTGCCTTCAGCTCGGGTCATGATCCTGGGGTCCTGGGATCGAGTCCCACATCAGGCTCCTTGCTTCGTGGGGAGCCTGCTTCTCCCCCTGCCTGCCACTCCCCCTGCTTGTGCTCTGTTTCTCTCTCTCTGACAAATAAAATCTTAAAAAAAAACTAAAACTAAAAATTTTGTTTTGGGGTGTGACATTTAGGTCTTTGACCCACGTTGAGTTACTTTTGTAGAAGGTGTGAGGTAGGGGTCCGGTTCTCCCAGCACTGTTTGTTGAAAAGACTGTTCTTTCCCCCTTGAATGGTCTTGACATCCTTGTCATCTGATCGTATATGTTGATGGTGGCTATGAGACGGTATGAATTTTGTCAAGTGCACACGGGGTGAGCTTCACTATAAATACGGGTTAAATCCCATTTCCTCCATTTACCTGCTGTGAAACTGAGGGCAAGCCCACGTTCCTGCACCCTCTTTTCCCCCCTCCACTAGTGGGACTGGGTAGTAATTGTGGGGATTAAGCTCCCAAGACAGCAGGTCCTGGCTCTGGCAGTGCTGAGTGCTTGGTGATCCCTGTCATCAAACACGGCAGCCCGTGGGGGAGCCCCTCTTCTATGCAGCTGGGCATCCCGAGGGCGTTACCATCTTGTGGGCCGTCTGTCCTTCTGACCAGAGCCACCATGGCTCTTCAGAGGACTGTCTCCACTCAGCTCATCTGCCCGGAAAGCATGAGGATGCTGGGTGCCTAGGACAGCGGCCAGGCAACAAGGACCCTCAGGTCAGACTAACACTGTGTTCTGGGCATTTCGTTGCTTTCGGCAATAGGCTCCGATTCCCAGGAGAGAAGGGAGATGGTCACTCAGAGCTCCCCACTGCTCAGAGAACACAGACCCCTACACCCATCCAGTGGCCCGCCCAGTGGTGTCACAAGTGCCCCTGAATCCCCTGTCCACCATGACAAGCAATATTCTGGAACAATCCATTTGCTGGGCCAACCCTACAGAACACACTGTCCAAACATCTGACATCAGTGCACGGGGACTCGTCTGTAGCCCAATTGCAGCCCTTTCCAGAGAGGCCAGAACAGCTGAGACAGTGAAAAATTGTTCAGTGCAAAACAAATGTCTACATTGGCTACAGTTGCAAAACAAATGTCAGCTACAACCCATTTTCAAAGAAATTTGGTTTTGGAGCTAGGGTTTAACATTTACCTTTGCAGATCTGCACCAGTCTCCCCCCAAACAATCTAAGAGTGGTTGATTCTGTTTATACAGATGGGTGCTGCCAGTCATTACATATTATAAAAATAAATGCATCTCACTAGCTCGTATTCTTGCCTGACATTTTCATGCTACACTGACAGGATAAACAGTGTTGAAGGCCGGCCACGCACACGCTCGGCCGGAAGCATTCTGGTTCTCAAAGAGACAAAGGAGCTGTACAACCACTGGGCTGACTGTCCACTAAACTCCCAGCAAGAGACACCAAACATGCTGTTTTCACTTTGCAAAACCCGCACACGGAGAATGCAGAAGCCAGTGAAGCCCAAAGTAATTTGCCCTATCAGGGACCCCAATCTTTGCACCCACTGCGGACCAACAAAGTCCTTTGGAAGATGTTTGAAAGTCTGGACATTGAGATGAGAGAAACGGGACAGGGGGAGCTCTGTACTGACTGAACTTTGCCCCGGGCCCGCCTGTCCCCCGCAGCTCTTCACGGCCCCTGCCCTTCCTGTTGGAAGGCAAGGGGAAGTGTTACTGGTGCTTCTGAGCTCGAAGTTTCCCAGCGCCGCCATGCTTCTCACGGATACTGGGGACTGGTAAAGCCAGTCAGTCACCATCTCTCTTGGGGAGCACTTTTTCTCGAAGAGCCAGTGTCCTGAGAAGCAGCTTCTGGCCGGGGCTGCCCAGAGGGCTGGCTGGATCTCGGGGAGCCTCCCGGAGTTTCTCTTGTCCTGCTCGGATTTCCTGATCCTGTGTTCCGACAAGGACCCCGCAAGCAGGCGGTGTGTCCTCCGCATTCACCGTAAACGCCTCCCCAGTGGGTCGCTCCACGCTCCGTCGGACACGAGGCCAGCGCATGGGCCCTGGGCCTGCCCGGGGCTCCCAGAGGCCACCAGGGCTGCACCCGATACCTCTCCAAGTGCCGGACCCGCTAGGTCTGACATGGGTCCCCTACACCAGATCATGTGTCTGGCAGGTCTGCGGGCTGACCCTCCCACAAGCATGGGCAACATGAGCTTTGCGGGTGGGGTTGGAAGGGGATGCGGTGGCCTAGAAAGCCCTCAGAGCTGCTCCTCAGAGGCACCCTGCCGGCGGCCTCTCCGGCCTCCACCTCGTTGTGGAGGACCTCGCCGACATTCCCAGGCAGCCGCTACCCTCCCAGAGCGCCGTGTCTATGAGGAAAAGCCCTTGGGACCGTCGTGTTTCACGTCCGCCCGTGCGGAGACAAGAGTGCTCTGGCGGCTTCTGGCTTCTGTGGCAGCCTGCCATGGCAAAATGCGGTGATGTCCCTGAGGGACCAGGGCCTGCTTCTCCACTGCCTGCTCCCGAGCACAAGCCACATCCTAGCTGGTGCGGGTGATGTCCTGGGCCTGGCCACTCCGGGACAGACTTGTGCCAGCCCCGCGACCCAGACAGGACTGTCCCCAACACGAGGCGGCCTGTGAAATCTGGTCAGCGCCAGGGGGCCCCATAACATTAGTTGATACCGTACACAAGACAGACTCCAAGACAGCGTCTGTCTGTCCATGGCGAGATCTCCAGTGGCTCTTGATAAATGCACAGAGTCCAGGGACATGTAACTGAACCCTAACTTCAAAAGGAAATAAAACCAAAATACCAAGTTCTTTGGGGAAAGCATGCTCTACTTTTCATTCTCCACGGATGTTCTAAGCTACAAAAGGACTCTAAAAAGCTCCTGGGCCCTTATGCCAAAGCCACAAGGACATCACGTGGCCAAGAAGGCCATCACATTCCACACAGGCCAAATGCATCAGTAGCAGGTGCTCGTTTTTTAAAATGCATTTTCTACCGGAAACCTCTTTATTACAGACCAACATCTGACGTCCGAGATTATCAAGGGGCACAAAGTAGAGGCAGTAACTTTACGTGTCAGCATCTGCAGAAACGGCAGGTTAAAATCCATAAGCCGAGTGACAGGGGCCCCTTGGACACACTGGGCCCTGGCGCCGGCTGTCCTGCCCCCCTCCTCTGGCGCCTGGGCTGGGCCCGGGCCAACGCACCCCTGACCCTGAGACCCGGCCTTGTCGGCGGACTTAAAAGCACAAAACTTGCTGGCCAATGACCAGTGGCCGTGAGAAATGGATTCATCCAGAAGAAGTCGTTAAAATGCCCTAACTCCTGTCATTTTAAATGTGTCCTAGGGTTGTGCCCTTGGACAATTTCAGCTTGCGCTCGCCCCCAGAAAATGAGCCCAGCCCCGGCCACAAAGGCCTCCCCACGCAGACAACCAGACACCCCAAAATCTGCTCTCGGAACAGCGTCCCCAGGGTAAACCCTGTGCCAGTGGCTCCGCTCATGTCCCCGTCGAGCAGATTCTCTCGATTCCTCCCTCCACCCTGGCTTCCTGTGTCCAAAGCCACAAAATCAAGCCTTCGGAACAAGTATTGGCTTTTAAAAGAGTTTTAATTACAAATGTGATGTTGAAGCCTGGACACACAGGGATGACACCCTCTCATGGAGAACCCGCCACTCCCTACATACGACTGCGTGTGGGCCTGAGTGTGCAAGTGTGTGCATGCGTTCAGAGGACGGCCTTCCGCTCAGAGCCCTGCTGCGCCCTGTGGTGTTGACATTTCTACAGGAAGACCACAGTCACTTGAACAGATGTTTGCTAAAATGGACATACACCTATTTTTTGTTAAATAACTTTAATTACAGGGTTGTGAGCAAAGGCTGCTGCGGACCCTCCCGTGGGGCACACCCGCTGTGACTCACCCGCGTCTGAATGTGCATGCTGGGAGGGACACAGCTGGGAACAGTGACACTCTGTGACGTGGTGTGGCCTGCACTGACCAGGACGCCCTGGTGACAAGGGGTGTGGACGAGGCCAGAGGCGGGGCTCCCTTCACGGCTGGGAGCCGCCCAGGGGGTTCCATCAGCACCCCTCCAGGTTTCCAGCTGTCCCAGGGTGTCATGGGAATGCTTCAGTTTGGATAGTATACAATTGGTGATTAATGCATATCTTGCTTTTCAGCAAAATACTATTCAAGTAGTTTTAACTTAAATATTTTAAAAGTAATCTTTACATTATCGAAGATTGGTAAAAAATACAGAATCTGACAACTTTTCATTTCATTCAATCTGATGCTTTGAAAATCTTCACTCTTGTATTACCTTAATTCCTGGCCTGTATAAAGCTCTTCAAAGGATTTTTTTCAAGATCCATCTTCCCCTGTTATCGGTTCACATTCAAAACAGTCTCAGAAACCCTTCTGCATTACAAGGAGGACTATGGAGGGATTTATGACTAAAGGAGCCCCCCTGGTCACGGACTTTAGTGATAAACTTTACAAGGAAGAGGGTGCCGTCAGCTACACAAGCCCAGCCGAGTCCCGTCATGTGAAGGGACTGCAAAGGATTTTCCTTTTCCACCCTTAATGAGAACATGATGATCCCAAGTGAAGCTTTATGAAGAGACTGCAACAGCAGTAAAATGTTTGGCAAAATCAAAAGTTAATTAGAATAAAATCCTCGACCGGGGATGGTGCTGTCGCCACGAACACAGTCGTTGGAAAAGCCGGTTTCTGCCGCGACCAGAGTTCTGAGCAGCCGCTTGATGGAGTCCAGCCTCCGGTCCCGGGGTCCGGGGCCACTCCAGCCCCTCAGTAGATATCCGGGCAGCGTGAGAAATTCCGCTCAAAGTAACCCCCTGTGTACAACCAGTCAGGAGTCCCCGTGTGCGGGTTGCTGCCCTGGTGGAACCACCTGCAACACAGACGAGGCGCTCAGGAGGCGAGAGCACAGTCAGGGCCGCGGTCCCTCCCACGGGGTGTCCCCATGGCAACACGCAACCCTCAGCGGGGCCGGGGCAGCGACTTCAGCTGAGAAGGCTTAACCACATTTTCACTCGGACTCTCCCCTCCAAACAAGCCTGGGGTCCGCTTCACCAGCAAAACCTCAAGGATTTAACAGAAAACACGCTGGGCCATCAGCAGAGGCTGCCTGGCTGCTCAACAGCGCCCGCACCTTTCAAGGTGGGAAGGCGCACAGTGCCGCCTTCCCTCAAAGCCTGCGTCGACCTGGGGAGAGGGGAGAGCCTGCAGGCAGAGGGACAGTGGTGGCTGCCACCGGGCTGCGTTTCTGGCCCTGCGCCCTAGGAGGCCCCCACTGGCTCCTGTGGGACACCTGTGCCCTGTGCAAACCACCATCCCCACCCCCCGTACCCCTGCGCCTGCAGCCCCCCGCACCCCCGTGCCCCTGCAGCCCCCCACACCCCCGCCCTGTGGCCCCGTGCCTGCGGCCCCCCACACCCTCGCCCCCCACCCTGTGGCCCCACACCCCCCTGCCCCTGCGCCTGCAGCCCCCCACACCCCCGCCCCTGCTCCTACAGCCCCCCACCCTCCACCCCGTACCCCCACTCCTGCAGCCCCCCTGCACCCCCCTCCCCCCTGCCCCTGCAGCCCCCCCACCCCACCCCCTGGGCCACCTCCACTTCTGTTGCACAACATGAAGACAACAGAGGACGCCTGCAAGTTATCATAAAGTGGATGTGGGGGGCTCACAAAGTAGAAGTCACCATCTCAGGACAAAATATCGTTATCTCCACAATATATTTTTTAAATCAACCACTTAAAGAAAAACAATGAAAGATTAACTCTTTTCAAGCCTTTTCTGGGAACAAAGGCAATTCCAAATATCAAACTACTGAAAGCACGATACTAATCAAACTGGGAGCCCAAGCACGAAGAATTGGTTTTAAAAATGTTGGTCACATAACCGTCACTGGAGGTGATCGTCCTGGGCCTGGAGAACAATTATGACAAAGTATGAAGTGTGACTGGAAAGAATACGGAGTGAACAGCTCAGAACCACCTGAAGACTTCTGTAGGACGAACACTTTAAGGTGCGTATTTTTAGTTATGCTCAAGTGTCACGGCACTTACCTGACTGAACTGTGACTCCTGACAAACTACAACTGCCCCCATCCTGCAGGGAGGCAGCAGGAGGCAGCCCAGGGCTGGCAGTGGCCGCTCCCCGTCTCCCCGTCTCCCACCTGGTCTGAGCACAGGCGTGTCCTGACCTGCAGGCCCCCCCGATCCGCACTACCTTGTCCCCGGCCGTGGCCACTCAGGCCCCCTGTGCCACGTGGCAGGTGATGTGCAGAACAGCAGCCGTGTCCGTGGCAGGGCCACGGGGTGATGGCTGAACACACGGCTTCTTCCACAGCGCTGCCCTTCTGAAAGCTGTGTTTGCCTCCCCTTAATGGCTTGCTTCAGACTACGTTTCCTTTTAAAATGTGCCCTATTTGAGCGGAGCACTCAGGGTCAGACATGCCGGGGGCAGGACTGCGAGGCCCGGGCCTGAGCTGACCTGTGCTGGCACCGCGGGGTGCATGCTCGCCTCCTGGGAGACTCGGCCCGTCTGTGCCATGGGCCCCACGTTAACGGGACCCCGGAAGAGCTTCTGCTCAGCCACAGGTGCACGTGGGGCCCTTGCCACTGCCCCCTCCCTGCCACCGAGGCCTCACCTCGTCTGCCACTCGGCCTCTTGTTTGGCTCGCTCCCTCCGGGCCTCCCTCTGCTTCTCCTCTAGCCGCTCCTTCTCCTGGCTCGCCAGATCTGAGGGCCAAGCACACGGTCTGGGTCAGGAGTCAGGCTTGATAGTGAAGCTCCCAGCTGACCTCAAGCAGAGGTGAGCGCTAAAGGAAGCAGATGCTGGAACTGCCCCATTCCAGACCTGAAACGAAAGTCCCACTGGCCAGAAATGTCATCATCTGCAAACCAGACTCCGGGGCGAGGGTAGGGTGGTGCCCGGACACCAGCAGGGCTTCGGGGAGAGGCAGGCCGTGTGCCCCCACCACGCAGGGGCGCGCAGCAGAACCTGTGAAACAGCATCACGCGGGGCGTGGTGAGGCTCACGGGCAACTCAACCCACAGGGCAGGGTCAGCAGGAGCCACTTCCTGTGGACGTGACCCACAGCTAGCTGCCACGCGGGAGCCCGAGGACTGCTGCCCGGTTGCGAGTGTGAGCTCAGAGGCTGGCTCTCGAGAGCGGGGGGGGCTGCCCGCCCACCCGCCTGCCCTGCACATCCTCTCCACTGAACACCAACCATGTAAACAAGTCCCAGGGCCACTTCAGACAGCCTTCCGGGGGTGTCCCGGGCTGCCAGCCTGACCCGAGGCAGCGGGGGAGCGAGCACGTGGCCAGCTCCGTCACACAGACACGTCCACAGTATGTGAGCCAACTAGCCTGGAACATGGGGCCTATGCTGACTTTTAACGGACAAAATGTGCAATCTTTGGAACATTACCCTAATGTCTGTTGACGCTAATAATAAAACCTTGGGGACTTATATTTTGCACGCATTCGGTTTCATTTTTCCTGTAATTTAATGCATCGTATTTGCAAAAGGGTCTGGAACAGGCTAGAATTCTTAAAACTCTTCCAGCATGGAGAGCATGAGAAGCACTGTCCTGCACGTCCCCGTCTGTCCACCTGCAGCCCGTGCGCCCCTCCCCCGCCAGCCCGCGTGCGCACCCATGTCGCCGTTCTCCATGCCGCGGATGTCGGGGCGCAGGCGGCAGTCCGTGGGGGCCAGGGTCTTCTCCATGCCACTCTGCAGCTCGTTGAGGCTGACGGTGAAACTGGTGAAATTGTACATCTGGAGAGAGACGCACAGACAGTTACCACCAACGGTACTGGTTTCTGCGCCCGGCTCACAGCTCGAAGCCGCTGGAGCAGCTGAGTGTCACCAGCTCCTGGGGGACTGCCTGCAGATCCCCCTGCCTGGATGCGGCCTGAGAGCCCCACAGCGCGCCCCTGCCCCAGGCAGGTGCGGAGAAGGTCCCTGCCGCCACCTCAGATAGGGGTCCAGGCTGTGCTCCAGCTCTGCTCCTGGGGCCCAGGGGCACCCAGCGTCTGTGGGCAGCTCCACACACGTAGGGAACCAAAGGAGGGAAGAGCAAGCACTACTTGTAAAAGGAATTCCCTGAAAAGAAATACGGCTTTTTTTCTGTTCCGTCATACCATTTTACACCCTGCTGAGAGCAAACTGTGGCTATGCTACGTAATATGCACACGGGGATATTTTGTTTCCTTTTGCTTATTTTACAGTGTCCTGCTACGTTAATAGGGTGTGAAATACAATAAAAAATTGTATAACGTGTTGTATATGTAACTTACATTTGAACAAAACAATTAACGATAGATATCAAAATAAACTTATTACACAATGTTCTTGCATTTATTAGCTTGTTATATGTAATACAAATTGTAAGTGTAATTTTCAAAATAACAAAACGCATTTAAACCTCTAAGTTGATAAGTCAGAAAACAAGGTCTCAGACCGATTTGGAAGGCCCTTCAGGAAGACCCAGCCGGTGCAGGCTGTCTAGAGCAGGCAGTCATCACACCATGCGCGTGCTGGGGCGCGTCACGCCCACACGACATGTTGGCAGAGCACAGCCTTCGCTGCAGGGAGGTCAGGCCAAGGCCAGGCCTCGGCTGGGGCTCCAGGAGGGCCAGGAGCCCCCACAGGCTCACGCTGCAGCACGGTCCAACCCAGAGACAGAGGGCCCCTCTGCCTTGGGACAATGGCCTGAAGAACAGCTGAGGGGCCGGGCCAGGGGTTGGCGGCACAGAGAGGCCCAGACTTGCGGGGGGCGTACGAACCTGGGCAGAGTTGGGGGGCCGAGTGTTGACCCTCCAGAGTAGCTTGCTGCCAGGAATGACCTGCACCGTCTCCTGAACCTCGGGCACGGAGTCCAGCACGTCGCCATCAGCTTTCTGGGAGCCGTTGTCCTGAAACACAGAAAACTTGAGATAGCCAGCCTGGAGGGACAGCTACTCTTGAGCAACTGTCTGGCCAGCGATGGCCCTGGGCAGGGCAAGATGCGCTCGCCAGTGAGGAGATACGGTGGTGTTCTCTCTTCTGGGGCCCCCGAGAGAGAGCAGACGTCAGCAGCCAGGCAGCGCTTTCCTGTGGGGAGAAGTGCACGCAGCACAAAGCGATGCTAGCGAGTCTGCTCCCTGTTGGAGGGGGCCGTGCCTTCCCCAACAGCTGGTCCGGTTCAAGCTAAGGGTGGCTCTCCTGAGCCAGAGACCATCCCCACACGCTGCGGCTCTCCCTGCAGCCAAGAACTGGCTCACGGAGGGGTGCCTGAATGGCTCAGTCGGTTAAGCAGCTGCCTTTGGCTCAGGTCATGATCCTGGAGTCCTGGGATCGAGCCCTGCATCGGGCTCCCTGCTCGGCAGGGAGTCTGCTTCTTCCTGTGACCCATCCCCATCTCATGCTCTCATTCTCTCTCTCAAATAAATAAATAAAGTCTTAAAAAAAAAAAAAAGAACTGGCTCACGTCTGGGATTTCATGGTATCTCAGTGCTTCTAGGCTGAACCCCAGCTGGAGACCACCTCTGAAGAAGAAGATGCAACCACCACCTTACTTTTCAAACTCAGTGGGGCCTAGAGAAAGACGTGGGCCCCCACGTGGCTGTTCCAGAATGCTGGAGTATGATGAGGTGGCCTCAGGACCCCCCAGCTGACTCCAACAGGGTTTGGTGCTATTGGCCATAGGCTATGGGGTTTGCTGCCAGAAGCTCAATAGAGGCCATTCAGGGATGAGTGTTCACGTAAAACCACCTCTCACATCTAGGCTACCCAAAGGACAATGAAGCCAAGCTAAGGCATTAAAAGCCAATCCTCAATGGATTTCCCGTTCTAAATCTGTGTGGTCTTTAAATGAAACTTTCTTTTTAAGTCAAAGAGCACCATTAGAGAAGAATGCCACACGGCCAGACACTGAAACCCTGGGGGAGGCCCAACACCTTTAGGACAGAAATACCAAACACTGGGTTTGGCCCATGACTTCTTACCTCAAAAAATCGGACATCTCTTTTGAACTACCACTTCTAGTTTGAAGCTCAAGAATAACTAGCCCTAAGATCATCAGAATTCCAAAGCTCCAGGGGAAAAGTATCTTTGCCAAAACTTTTCGACTGTGGAATATATTACCTGGCTCTCAGAACTAAAAACACAGACATGACCTTCTCTTGATTTCTGAAGAGGGTCTAAGCGAACAAGGTTCAAGAACACAGGAAGGGTATGAAGAAGCACTCAGAGCACAGGGTTCCCAGAGAGAAGCGCAGGTGCACTTGGATTCTGCCAGGCTTAGGGGGCACGGGGAGGCACCAAGGAACCCAGCCCAGCCGACAACAGCCGCCTCTGCACAGCCAACATGCAGATAAACCCGAGCCCCATGGAGCGTCCAGACAAGCAGGCTCGCACCGACAGGCAGAATCTAGGACCCCACAGCCAGCCAGCAGAGGGAAGGCTGATTCCCAGCACTCCAGCAGCCGAAAGCCCTGCCCCACGCCCCGGCCCCGGGGGCCACCCTTGGGGAAAGCAACACCTTACCGGCTGTGCCTTGCTCAGCTGGTCACCTCTCCTCTCCCGTTTCTTGAAGGACTCATATGCAGCAGGGTCTATGCCCCACAAACACTCTGTCCATTTTCCATAGATCATAAAGAGCTTCTTTTTGCTGCAAAGGAAATTATTTTATTTATTTTTTTAAAGTTTATTTTTTTTAGTAATCTCTACACCCAACTCACAACCCCGAGATCAAGAGTTGCGTGCTCTTTCAACTGAGCCAGCCGGCACCCTGTCAAAGGGAATTTAATCAAAAATCATTCATCTAAACATGCAGCACCTTAATTTTGACCATGGAATAAATGCCCGTTCTGGCTTGTCTTCTTATAAATGTTAGGACTTCTCTGGACATAAGTGCAAAGAGGAAAATCTGCCTTTTAGGGCCCCTGCTCGGGCCTGATTCGCCAAAGCAGCAAAGAGGATGAGGACACATAGCCCCGAAGGGTGGCTGGCAGGGCCCTGCCACCCAGAGAAGGTGAGAAACAGGGGGCGTCTGGTGTCATGTAAGCCTGCATTGCCTGTCTGGTCACCATCCCTGAAATGCACAAACTTCCACGCACTGTGTCCCACCCCCAATAAATCACATCAATAGCCCTTCAATTTCAATATAACTGCAAATCGGATGCCCACATCATCACTCGCCTGCTTTTTTCATTTAATAATAATCTCTGGAGACTTTCCAGGTCAACCACCAGAGCACTCTGCCTGATTCCAAAAGGAACGCCAATAGTGTAGGACCGTTTTGTTTTTTCTTTTTTGCATCCTCCTGCAGGGAAAGCACAGTGGCCATGCGCTCCCTGGAAATACTACTCTGCCAGGCGTGTGACATCCTGGGAGGGCACCCCTGTCTCAGAGGCTCAGCCTGGAAAACTAGCACGCAGGGAGTGGTGGGGGGACACTCGGCCAGTCCTCACTCAGCAGACACTTTGGCCAACATGGTCTGTCTCCAAGAAGTAGAGCATTAGGAAAGAGCTCACTCCAATTTGGGACAGAAAACCAGAAAATCAGAACAGGGTTTGCAGCCCCTAAGGGCTGGTGAGCGTGCCTCAAGGCATGGCACGGGCTCCGCTTCTATAGCCCGCGTCTGTACGCAAGCCGACCACAGTCTCTGCTGGGGTTGTTTCCACCAGGGAGAGGCTGTTCGGGCGCGGTCATGAAGAGAACTGCTGTCCTCCAAAGTCTGCGGGCTGAGTCCCGACTTACTTCAGTGGGCAAGGTGCTCAGAGTCTAAAGCCTAAAAGCATCTCACAGGCCATTTGAGCAGGTGACCTTCTGCTACCCAAAGAGTAGGAAGAAGGAGCAAAAGCACCCACTGCTTTACACTGGAAACTTGTTTCTGATTAAAAATGTGTCGGGGGCTCCTGGCTGGCTCAGTTGGTAGAGCACGTGACTCTTGATCTCGGGGTGGTGAGTTCAAGCCCCACGTTGGGTACAGAGCCTACTTGTAAAAAAGAAAAAAAAATGTATGGCTTTCGGAGCTGGCAGGAGTTTCATGACATTATATAAAACCCAAATTCCTTACTGGGGAAAAAAAATGGGAAATTTGAGACCAAAAACATAAGGTAAGTAACCCAAAGGAGAGAAAACCCCAGAAAATCTGTTGTGGACTCTGACCGTTTCTCTGCTCACAAACACTTTAAAAGCCCTCATAAGCGAGGGTTGGAGCTGTGCCGACGACCGGTAGCAGGCGCTGCTAGAGAGGAGGAGACTCACGTTCACGTTTCCAACCTCAGCTCTGGTTGCAAAGCCGCAGGATTAGCTCTCCGTGAGGACGCCTAATTTCCTCACGTCCATTTTATCAAAAGAAAACAGACGCAGATCTTTCATCCTCAAGAGACGGACAGACAGACCCCACTCACTCACAACCCAGAGACGACACTTAAAACTAATCCTTCGTCCCCTTGCAGACTCAATAAGGAAATGTCTTTTCTAAACAGAAGAGAGTCATCATTTTTCTCTCCCATGAACAGACGTCACTGGCATGATGGCATCGCTAACAAGGTGCGCGCACGCCGTAGGAGCCCGGGCTGAACCGTCCGTGCGTAGACCTACTTTTTGTCTTGAATGTGCCCCTCCACTTTGTGAAGTTCCTTCCCGAACAATCCACAGGGTTTAAAATGAAGCACACACTTATCTCCAGTTCTGCGGGGAAAACAAACACAGGCTTCTGTTGTGTGATGAGAAATGGCCGGGGGAGGTGAACGGGGAAGGAGAGGCGGCCAGGGTGGGGGCGGCGGTGGGCATGTGGGGGAGCTCGCTGCGCCGACCGAGAGGTTCCAACCCTGACGGCGGCACGCTTCAGTACATACACTAAACATCACCTAAGTTTCCAATTTAAGTGCGTGAATTTTATGATATGCAAACAATATCTCAATAAAGCTGCAGGAAAACAAAGCCGATAGGTCATGAGCTCCTAGGAAGAAGGTATGGACAGTGGGTAACGTTTGAGGATGGTAGTGACTTTCTCATCTGGGAATCACACCATCCTTCAGTGTAGTTTAAAATTTCAAAATAAATTCACTATTGTGACTAACACGAAAACAGGAAGCAACAAGGGGCACCAGAGACGAACCAGCACCGACCAGCACCCGCACCAGGGAGCACTGGGCCCGGCCCTCCGTGCAAGCAAAACACACCCCGAGGACGGACACAGCTGCAGGGAGCAGGGCGGAAGCGCCTCCTCGAGGACGCAGCGCGTCTGCACGTCCCACGCGTTCTGTGACCATCACGGCACCTTGGGCACTATTACCTGTGGTTTACAATCTCCACCGTCCCATACTGCTCTATCCAGAGCTTCCCGATGATCACGTTATGTACACAGCAGGTGGGGTTGGTCCAGGTGTAGGCCTCATTGTGTCTGGGAAACATGCCAGAAAACAAGCAAGTCAGAGGCCAGCAAAGCAAAAGACACTGCGTGACCTACGAAGCGAAATACCAGACAGAATTAAACCATAATTGCCTTAAAACCCGTACAAGAGCCGAATATTGCTTTGAACTCCCTCCAACGGTGGCGATTTACTTAGCATTTGTTTGAAATTTATTTCTGCTTTCCTTTGTAGCATCAACAAAGCTTTCTACTGAAATGTCAGGACAAGTTAATAAGCGACAGGAGACCACCGAGACAGAGAGACACGGCTGTCCTGGGAAGCTGTGGGCACACCAGCCCCTCCACCAGCAGGAGCCACATGCCCCGGGCCGGCCCAGGGTCGTGGGGAGCCGCTCCGTGGCAGGAACGCTGGGGCACACGCGACTGCCGAGAACAACCTTCCAAACACCTTTGCGTGTCCTCCTCATGCTCCCCAAAAGGCCTGACCCAAAGAGAAAGCCCCACAAAGGTGGATCAAGGGCACAGACCCGTGTTTTGAGGGAGGCCATGTCAGGGAGCCATACTGAAGGGCAGAGACCAGCTCAGAGCAGAAGTATTCAGGATAAATACCTGGAACCCCTCAAATTTCCAGGGGGAACCCAAACGCATTAATCAATAAGGTTTGCCACGTTTCAGTTCTGCATGCCTCACCTCAAGAAAGCAAAGACCACCGCAAGACAGGCACGCTTCCCAGAAAAGGGGGTGCCCTCACTGGGCCCAGAGATGCATGGGACTCAGGTACTGCTATTCTCTGGCCACCAGCCACGAAGCAAAAGTGATACCAGATGCTTCATTACAGCAGGCTACGGTGAGCAAGACTAGCACCTCCGAGAACCAGCAGCTCTCCGCGGCCTGGACCCATCTAACAATGGTTTTGCAACATCCAGGCAATTGCTAGAGACTCGGTTGTTGCTTTGCGAGATGTCTGAGCAACACTGCATGGGGGAGCGTTGGGATGAAGGTTTAACAGGTCTGTGGGCAGCCTCCAGGACGCCCCTCAGTGTTCCCTACCTCCTGGGATTCAGCCCGCGTCTCTCTCCTGCCCTCAAGCAGGGCTGGTCTGTGTGACCAACGGGGGTTTAAGGTTAGGGTCACTTCTGAGATGAGGTCATAAAAGACACCATGGCTTCTGCCACCTCAAGGGGCCCTGAGCCAGGGCGGCCTACTATGCGGCTCCCCGGTCCCAGCCCTCAGGAACCGCGTGGGAGGGCAAACGGTGGCTGTTGGAAGTTCCTACGTCCGGGAACAGCTAGCAGCAGTGGCGATGAAGGCGATTCAGGTCACATGGGGCACACAGCAATCAGGCGTGCGAACTGCGCCCGTCCCGGGGAGGGGTCTGACAGGGAGTTCCCATCTGAAGGGGCTCCTGCAGTTGGAAAGGTCTGAACAGAGAAAGGCTGTGACCCCCACACTGGAAGGAAGAGTCTGCGTTTCTGTTCAGGTTCCCGGCCGCCGCACTCACTTGAGCAGCTCCAGCGTGATGGTGCCCCGGGGCTCGGCCTCCACGCTCTTGCCCCAGAACTTCAGCTTCGGGTAGATGGAGCCGTGAAACAGGAAGTCCTGATTGAGGCCTTCTGAATAAAATGCACTAACCGGGGGGTGGTGGCTGACCTGTTCAGATATGAATCTGAATCCTAAATCTTCCCTAGGCACAAAAACAAGAGGGGAGAGAGCCACATCAGAGACCGTCAAATCCGACAAAGGCCGGCTCAGCACCCCTCTCGGGGGAACCCCGCAGCCCCTGGCACGGCAGGCCCACCCCAGCCGTGTCCAGGATGGGCACTGAGAAAGGCGAACGCACGCTCCATGCCCCCTCTCCCAGGGGGCAGAAATATCCACCACCTGCTCTCTGACAGCCTAATGCTGACACTCCACACAAACACACACACTTGCACACACATCCACTGTGCCTCTGGGGCACATCTGAACACTAGACAGAACAAGGAATAGTGCAGAGGGGCCTCTTCCACCCTGACCCTCTGCTCACAGCTCCCCCCTCCCCGCCGGAACATGCAGATCTAGATGTGTCTCTTGGAACCAGGGACGTAGAGGCCCCGATACCAAACTGCCATCTTAGTCCTCAAGGGACGCCCAGCGCCTAAGGGGGTTCTTCTCTAGCCTTCTTCTAAGGCTTCTGGAAGTTTCGTGATGGAATGTCTGATGCCCCAAGACACTCCTGGCCAGGAAATAGGATTTTTGGTACACGCTCTTTTTCAATAAAAATGTCAGTTCTTAATTGTTCTGGAACTGTGAATACACCTACAGTTGTAGTCATTAAAAATTATAAAAGCTAAACCACATAATTACTAACTTAACTGGAATCAGAATTTCCAATCGTTACAGAGAAAGAAAAGTTGAAAAATTTGATTTTAAAAGGTTGCCTACCAAGGTATGTAATTTACAAAATGAACACTTGTCTAAGAAAAGAAAGTGCTATTTTTGGTTCTACAGGAGCAATCTGTAGGGAAAAAGACATGGAGCATGACTTGGTTCAGTTACGTAGCTCCTCAAACAGGAAGACCCCTCAGGGCCCTGCCCGCAGGGCATAGGCCACACGCGCGACCTGGACACCAGGACGTGACACACGGCACCTGCAAGGTTAGGAGGAAGGCTCATTTCTCTATCAGTGGAAACTGGCTCAACCCCTGAATGAAGTTCCTGGAAAAGACGAATAGGAAGGTGTGTCGCACCATGTCCAGCATCTCGGGGTCATTGAGTCTTTTAATCCGTACTGCTTGTCTCCCGTTGTCTAAAACTTCTTTTATATTATGTTTTAATTTTTCTTTCCAAGATATGTTAATGGTGCTTTTGAATAAATGAAAATACTAACAATTTCCTCAGAGCTAGACAAGGTCAGAATCTCGACCACGGCAGGGAGTAACTGTCGCTCAAGAGGCGTGATTCTAGAAAAGAAAGAACTGTCCACGTGAATTCAGAACAAAATTTCCCTGAAGAGTGACTGTCGGGGCAGGTTTTTCCCTCAGGTGGGCCTCAGTTTCCCCGTCTCTGAACTGAAGAAGGAGGGACTTGCCCTCTACACCCAGGGTCCCCTCCTGGCTGCCGTCGCCCGCGAGCACACCCCATGGCAAAACCGTGCCTTCTGACCCGCCAGCCTTCTCGAGGGAATGGGATTTCGAAAGCAGCACTCAGTGCCAGCCAGCCGGTCAGTCCCTCAGAACAGCAGGCCGCTGCCCCCAACGCCAGCAGCATGCAGTGGGGGGGCCACGCGGGGGGGGGGCACGCGGCGGGGGGCACGCGGCGGGGGTGCCGCGAGGTGAGCGGCAGCCAGACCCAGGCGAGAGCCTGACACTAGACATTTCTGTCGCTTCCCCAACTGCTAAGGGGTTTCCGTGAAGACGTGCGTGGCTACGGGTGACGACTCTGCCCGCAGACGTCAGAAACCAGGGCCGACGCTCGCCCCCTGCACACGCTCGTCAGCGCCGCCACACGCCCCGAGCGCGGACTCAAGCGGACCAACACCCCAGTTCTCACAAGCGCGTGCTCCCTTTGAAGAACTCGTGATCGTTAACGCACGTTAGCACGGGCAACAAAGAGCCCGAGAAGCACGACCTGAAGGACTCCTGAAACCCAGACACCAGGGACCACACAACGCGCGCTCTCTCACGACCGAAGGCAGCAGCGCCCGGCACCACACGCGAGGCGCGCGCACACGTCAGACGACACGCGGCGTGACTCCGCACAAGCGCGTCGCATCGTGGGGACACGAGGACGGCACGAGGTGAGGTGGCAAGCATACAAATTACCACAGTCACACCGTGTGAACACACACACGACACACGACACGCGGAGGAAATCCACCAAAACATTAACTCTACAGGATCACGTCTGACTCGTCTCACTTTGCTCAACCTACACGTTTTCCACAAGGAACATGCTCTATAATTAAAACACAAACTTTTATTTAATAAAACATTCCAAAAAGCTCTCCACAGGACCCAGGGAGAGGTGGAGTAAAAACTACTCTTGCCCTCGCCAAACGCCCCACAAAGGACTGCGCACGCTCACACTTCCGGGGTCCCACGCTCACACTCCCAGAGCCCCACGCTCACGCTCACGCTCCCAGAGACGCACGCTCACGCTCCCAGAGACGCACGCTCACGCTCACGCTCCCAGAGCCCCACGCTCACACTCACGCTCCCAGAGCCACACGCTCACGCTCACGCTCCCAGAGCCGCACGCTCACGCTCCCAGAGCCGCACGCTCACGCTCACGCTCCCAGAGCTGCACGCTCACGCTCCCAGAGCCGCACGCTCACGCTCACGCTCCCAGAGCCGCACGCTCACGCTCACGCTCCCAGAGCCGCACGCTCACGCTCCCAGAGCCCCACGCTCACGCTCACGCTCCCAGAGCCGCACGCTCACGCTCCCAGAGCCGCACGCTCACGCTCACGCTCCCAGAGCCGCACGCTCACGCTCCCAGAGCCGCACGCTCACGCTCACGCTCCCAGAGCCGCACGCTCACGCTCCCAGAGCCGCACGCTCACGCTCACGCTCCCAGAGCCGCACGCTCACGCTCCCAGAGCCGCACGCTCACGCTCACGCTCCCAGAGCCGCACGCTCACGCTCCCAGAGCCGCACGCTCACGCTCACGCTCCCAGAGCCGCACGCTCACGCTCCCAGAGCCGCACGCTCACGCTCCCAGAGCCACACGCTCACGCTCACGCTCCCAGAGCCGCACGCTCACGCTCCCAGAGCCGCACGCTCACGCTCACGCTCCCAGAGCCGCACGCTCACGCTCACGCTCCCAGAGCCGCACGCTCATGCTCCCAGAGCCACACGCTCACGCTCCCAGAGCCGCACGCTCACGCTCCCAGAGCCGCACGCTCACGCTCACGCTCCCAGAGCCGCACGCTCACGCTCCCAGAGCCGCACGCTCACGCTCACGCTCCCAGAGCCGCACGCTCACGCTCCCAGAGCCGCACGCTCACGCTCACGCTCCCAGAGCCGCACGCTCACGCTCCCAGAGCCGCACGCTCACGCTCACGCTCCCAGAGCCGCACGCTCACGCTCCCAGAGCCGCACGCTCACGCTCACGCTCCCAGAGCCGCACGCTCACGCTCCCAGAGCCGCACGCTCACGCTCACGCTCCCAGAGCCGCACGCTCACGCTCCCAGAGCCGCACGCTCACGCTCACGCTCCCAGAGCCGCACGCTCACGCTCCCAGAGCCCCACGCTCACGCTCACGCTCCCAGAGCCGCACGCTCACGCTCCCAGAGCTGCACGCTCACGCTCACACTCCCAGAGCCGCACGCTCACGCTCACGCTCCTGGAGCCCCACGCTCACGCTCACGGAGTCACGGCCCGGGCCGGACAGTTTGCCCCTCACCCGGCTGATCCCGTGATGGAGAAAGACAACACTGCCATCAGCTTTCGCTCGTGTGGTCTGGGGGTCAGAAGAGCACCCCAAACAGGCCCAGCCCACCCTCCCAGGGCCCCCACCAGGACCGCCACAGGCAGGGCTGGTCCTGGGGTTGTGTGTGGGCCTCAAAGACGGGGTCAGAAGCCGGGGGCAGGCTGGGGAGCTGCCTGAAAGGAACTCTACCCAGAGGGATCTCCATCGCCCTGGCCCCTCGCCAGCCTCGGGAGGCTGCGCTCACGCCCTCTGCGGCTGCTGCGTTCTCCAGCTCCGGCGGCCCCTCTGTGACACTTACTAAGACGCCCTGGTGATGTGGGCTGGCTTTACTCACTAGGGCCTGTTTCCCTCTTCGTGCAACACGAGCCCACCCACCCTCCTGCACAGTGCACCCCGACGCCCAGCACACTCTCCCATCTCCATCCGCTTTACCCCAGGCGCTGTGATGTGTGTTGTGTCCGCGGCCACGAGGCGCCTTCTCCCTCTGCGTCCCTAGCCCTGGCGACGCTGACGGCCTGAGCCCTTACCTGATCAGCTCGTAAGTCTCTCCCAGGAGGGGGTTGAAGGGCTTGCCGGTCCTCTCCCACTGGGAAGCCACTGCGGACACCGCGAAGGCTGCCACGCACTGGGAGCAACGCACATGGTGGTGAGCGAGGGGCCACAGGCACGCAGCTCCTCGGTGCCAGGATGCGCTCCTGGTGACCTCAGTCTCCCGCTTGTCACATGTTTTGAGATTACAGAACTTCCGGAGAAATGTCATTTATCACGGCACTTCCTCAAAGCCACACAAGCAGGAACTGTGTGCGGCTTCCCTGCCCAGGCCCACCCGGCCTTGCAGCCCCGCGGCACAACTCGTCAGTCTGGCTGCCGTGCCCGCATGCACACAGGGTGCCAGTCCTGAAAGGACCCAGGAGGAGCCAAGGCACAGGGCCCACCGCCACCCGTGGAGATCAGGCCCCAGGACAAACGCCAGAGCTGTCGAGCAGGACGGCACCCAAAAGTCAGTGTGAGCCATGCACGCCCATCCCCCTGGTGAGGTGCCTACCACAACGTGTCTGGTCAGGTGGTGTCAGGTTCATTAAAAACTACAGTCTGGCACCCACCCAAGCTCAATGTCCGGTGCCCCCTGAAAGGAGCCCACCACCCACCTGCATCCTTTCTAGGGCCTGGGGCTGGCAGGAGGCTCTGTGAATGAGGAACACATGCTCCATGTACTCTGTGATCCGCTGGAGGAAGCTCAGAGGCTCGTTGAAGACGATGGGCATGGTGATCTTGGACAGCTCCTAGGAGGGGCAGGGAAGACCCGTCACCAGAGGGCTCAGGCCCACCCTGCTCGGAGCACAGGGAAGATGCTTGCCTTACTCTTCAGGAGAAAGAAGGTACACGATGTGGAGACCCCACTGCTCACCTGCTCAAGCGGCAACACCCAAACCCACCTGGGGCACGGCTGGGGGTAAAGAGGCCCCCCTGGGGGCCTGGCTGTTGGAGCATAACCGCACACACACCTACTCTTTGGTCCAGCCAAATACCAGACACTCAAATGCCCCACAGGGCCCCAGGAGCTATGGGCAGCCCCGGGAGGCCGCCCGATGCAATGACCACAGGAGTAAGCAGCTCTACATCGCCGTGGCTGCACCATGCAGGGAAAAGGTGGAGCAGCCCCTGTTTGTCTAAAGAAAGAGGGAGGAGATGACACACAATCAGTTTTCTGATGCACGGGAAGACAGGCCAGAAAGTTCCGAAGTGGTCCCCTCTAGGGGAAGGGGACATGCACAGAGAGATCAGGGACAGGAAGCTAAATTCTTGCAATATATCAGAAATTTTTTTTGTTTTAAGATTTTTTAATTTTTATTTATTTGACACAGAGAGACATAGCGAGAAAGGGAACACAAGCAGGGGGAGTGGGAGAGGGAGAAGCAGGCTCCCCACTGAGCAGGGAGCCCGATGCGGGGCTCGATCCCAGGACCCCGAGATCACGACCGGAGCTGAAGGCAGACACTTAACGACTGAGCCACCCAGGCGCCCTCCTTTTTTTTTTTTTAAGTTTTTTTTCAATGGAATACACCAGAATCTCATCCAAAAGATTTGACTTTGGATTTACAATTCTGAAACAAAATTAATTTAGAAAGGCAATCTCCAAACATCAAGAATAAAGTGAAACAAATGAATGCACGCAAGCCCCTCAGGCACAGCCAACCAGAGAAGGGGTCACGACACAGTGACTTGAGATGCACCCTAAGGACGAAATGAGCCACAAAAGCCAACAAACTTGCACGTTTCAGTAAACATGCTGCTGGCAGCAGAGTTGGTCCTATTCCCCAGAACTGTTTTTCCTGTGGGATAGAGCAGGTGAGTCACTACGTGCTCATCTAAATCAGACCTCTCCAGTGTCGTTAAAAACTGGGATTATTAGGGGGGGCCTGGGTGGCTCAGTCGGTTAAGTGTCTGCCTTCAGATCAGGTCATGATCCCAGGGTCCTGGAATGAGTCCCACATTGGGCTCCTTGCTCAGCAGGGAGTCTGCTTCTCCCTCTGCCCCTCACACTGCTCATGCTCTCTTTCTCTCTCTCTCTCTCACATAAATTAATAAAAATCTTTTAAAAAAACTGGGATTATCGGTGTGGGAGAAAAGAGGCACAGACAGAAGACAGAGGAGGTTAGATTAATCCTGTCATCCCAAATTTAAAGCATCGTTGAAACAAATCAAAGCAGCTCCTAGCTCTCTCCCCTGGGAAAAACCTAGAAAAAGCAACCTGATAGCCTCTTTGGGGCCCAGCTGTGGTCTTGAGTCCTCTCTCTCCCTGGACAAGGGGCCAATTCCAGATCCTGGACAAGAAAGGTACAGAACGAGCCAGAGCATCTCCTGTGAAGAATTGCGGCCAACCTGAAGACGCTATTATCAGCCAAAGAGAACAGCTCGGAGACCAGAACACATCAAGGAGCTTTAACTCCATGAATTTAAAAAACAACAGAAGACTAGCTAGTTGGTTATACTGGTCATGCTGGGTAATGGCTAGTGAACCAAATACATCACTTGACAACTGTGAAAAAGAAAGAGTCACTCACTGACCCTGACTTCCTTATGCAAACCACATTCACAGCAGTGGAAGCACGGTGTGTTCTCAGCACAGAAGCAGCGTCCCAGGAGATAAAGGCAGAGTGACTGCGCGGGCTCAGCTCCACAATTCAAGCACTGAGCATCAGGAACTTCAGGTCAGGAGAGAAGTAACAAAGAGGTGTCCACAGAGACTGGAATGGCACTCGAGACAACCAGGAATTTGATGACATTAACAGACTATGTACTTTCCTGCACTAGGATACCAGGACTGTGGTCGTGTTAAAACAGAATCTGGGGGCGTCTGGGTGGCTCAGTCAGTGAAGCGTCCGACTCTTGGTTTCAGCTCAGGTCATGATCTCAGGGTCCTGGGATCAAGCCCCACATCAGGCTCTGTGCTCAGCACAGAATCTGCTTCAGATTCTCTCTCCCTTTCCCTTCCACTCTCTCTAATAAATAAAAATATTTTAAAAAAAGAAAACAGAATCTGTATCCTTTAGCAATACAAGACATATTTGCAAGTGGAATTTACTTCAAAATACTAAGGGAGGCAGGAAGCGATGAAGTGTGGCTGGGGGTGATGAGCCCTGGCCGACGCCGGGGGTGCCGCAGTAGCTGGGGTGGGACTCAGCCCTGCCTGCTGCAGCACGTGCCCGAAACAGCCCACGTGGCCAGCGCGTCGCCGCTGTCTCCGCAGGCTAAGCAGTAAAGAGAGCGGCGTCTCCACTTCAGAGGCAAAGCCCATACATGCTGAGCTGGTGCGGCTCCAGGAACGTGCCAACCCACGTGTTTTGTTCAGCTTTAATCTGAATGCATCCTATCCCCAAGTTGGATTCCTCGGGGAATGCAAGGTAATGATGTCAGTTTATGAAAACAAGCCTCAAGATCAAGGAGCTAGTGTAGTTCATTACCTATCTTCAGACAGACACACCTGTCTGGACCTGACCTACTCACACAGTGAGAAACGTGGGAGATAACACTGCTAAGAAAAAAGAATCCCAACCGTGTCGTTTTAAAACAGAAGAGACATGCAGGGTGCCTGGCTGGCTTAGTCAGAGGAGCATGCAACTTTTGATCTCAGGGTTGTGAGTTCAAGCCCCATGTTAGCTGTAGAGAGTACTTAAAAATAAAAATCCTTAGGAGTGCCTGGGTGGCTCAGTCGGTTAAGCATCTGCCTTCAGCTTAGGTCATGATCTCAGGTTCTGGGACTGAGCCCTGCGTCAGGCTCCGTGCTCAGTGAGGAGCCTGCTTCTCCCCCTCTCTCTGTCCTTCCCCCTGCTAGTGCTCTCTCTCACTATCTCTGTTGCTATCTCTGTCTCTCTCTCTCAAATAAATAAATAAAATCTGAAAAATAAAAATCTTTTAAAAAATCAAACATAGGGGCACCTGGCTGGCTCAGTGGGTTAAGTGTCTGCCTTCCACTCAGGTCATGATCCCAGGGTCCTGGGATGGAGCCCCACATCGCATCGGGCTCCCTGCTCAGCCAGGAGTCTGCTTCTCCCTCTTCCTCTGCCTCTCCCCCCTGCTCATGCACGCGTGCTCTCCCTCTCTCTCAAATAAAATCTTAAAAAAACCCTCAAAACATAAAAAAAATAAAAGGTAAGAAACACGTATAAAAACATGTGCGTGTGTGTGCAAGCAGGGTCAGAATGCGTACTTGGGTTTTCCAGCTCTGTCTGCTTAGAGGCCTGGGGCGGTGACAGCCCTGGAGGGGCGAACACATCCAGCGCCAGGCCTTGGTGTCCAAACACCACCTTCCACGGGCGCCTGGGTGGCTCAGTCAGTTGAGCGTCTGCCTTCGGCTCAGGTCATGATCCTGGAGTCCTGGGATCGAGGCCCGCATTGGGCTCCCTGCTCAGTGGGGAGTCTGCTTCTCCCTCTGCCTGACGCTCCCCCTGCTTGTGCTCTACCTCATTGTCAAATGAGTAAATGAAATCTTTGGAAAAACAAACACACACACACCCCACCCTCTAGTGGAAGGGCAGCAGGGGAGACACTGGGAAAGCAAGTCCTGTGTGTGGTGAGCAGTGATGCTCCTAGACGAGTCCCCTCGTCCCCTCGCTCACTGAGCTCTGGCTGCTGCATGAGAGGCCACTGTGACAGGCAGCTGGGTGAAAGGTAAACAGGGCTCAATGTGCCTCTGCAATCTTCTAGAAGTCCAAAACTATTTCAAAATACAAAGTGGGAGAAAAGATGCAGTTTCCTCTGGGAAAAAGGCCGCCAGCTGGGGCAGAAGCAAAGGCAGCAACAGGCCTGTGAGGAGCGCCAGGGACAGGGCCACATGCCTGTGGGTACAACACTCATTGGAGTCCGCACCACCCCACGGCCCGTGGGGCGCTCTTCCCTCCCAAGGGGCACAGCTCACATTCCCAAGACAGTCAAGACCGTCCCAGAGACCATGAGAAGAAAAGCCTGTGGCCCCAGACACCAATCACCCAACTCTCCCGCTGCTAACCCGGCTGAGCTCTGCCTGCAGCCCGGCGCGGGGGGCTGGGGGGCAGAGCCCTGAGTCCTGCACGCCTGCCTATGTCCTCCCCTCAGCATGCATCGGGGAGCCCACTGTCCGAAGCCAGCCAACTCCGAGCCCGTCATGGGGCGCTCCCTACATCAGGCATGTGACCTGCGGGATTGTTTTCCCGCTGTCTGTAAACACTTGGCCTTTTCTCTCCTCTTCCCTTTACGTCTCTGTCCCTTTCCTATTTCATCACCTTCACTTCACGCTGTCATAAACATGCAGAGCGCACCTTCTTAAACCAGCAGCAGTGCAACAAACGCACAGGAAATAAAAACATTTTGGCTTAAAGCCCCAAAATGAGTCCACCTAAACTTACCAAGCCGATGCATTTCTTTAAAATACTCCACACACTGAAATCACTTCTGGTGAACATCGGGGCGGGCAACGACGTCCTGTAAAGAAGCGAGCCAAGAAACACGTACTAATTCCGCCAGCGTGACATTCACTTCCCGCCGACGATTGTGCTCAGCGGTCGGTTTTCAGATGCAAACACCGCACCGTCTACTCCAGCAGCTACAGTACTCTCTGGTCCCAAAGGAAGGCTCTGCACCGTTGCTCTGGGGGGGTCTCCCGGGAAACGGTCGTGACCACACAGGCAACCTTCCTTCACCTCCACAGAGTGGGGACAGGGCACCCCTCCCCTGGAGCAGCCATGGGCCACGGGCAGAGGCCGGGCCACAAGGACACAAGAGGGAACTGAATTAACAAAACCTTTCCAGAAGCCTGCCGTAAGCCCCTTTCTAATGTGAGTTTGTTCTCCTGAGGCACATTCCTTGTCAGGCTCTCTTCCCGCCAGCTTCCAGGAGAAGACGGCCAGTCTTCCTCCTGGGAATCTGGAGCTGGGATGAAATGCTCTCTCCTCCTGGAAAGGGAGTGCCTGAGTGGGCTGTGAATCCAGATTTGGGGGGAGGCACGCTGGACCCACTCACTGAAGACAGCCTATCAGCAGGCAGCCACAGCGTGAGGGGCCCCTGGAAGGTGCCGCCTGGGTCCTGGGGTCCCTGTAGCTGCCCCGTGCTCCCCACTGACTTCTGGGTCTGTGTAAGCACCGACTGCACCTGCGGCAGGAGCGCCCGGCTCAGATGCCTCCGCTTGGCGGCTCTGGGCTTCCGAGCAATGACAGTGCGTGTGCTGGCCCGAGCGGGAGGCACACTCTCCCTGGGGACATCACATTAGGGGCAACCAGCTCAGGGCACACTGTTTATTTTAGGGATAAGAGGGAGAGGAGAACAGGGCTGCTGGAGATGATATGGGAAAGAAAACTAACATTGGCCAGCACCACGGGCCAGGCTGCCGGCACCCAGCGCTCGGCTCCAGCCCCAGCTCTCCTCCGGGGCTCTGCGAACACTGGGAGCAGCCACGGCGGGGCAGGCACAAACTGCGAGGGGTGCCACGTGGAAGGCTGTAGTTCTGGCCAGGGCCAGGAAGGGGCCCCCCGAGGTGAGCCTTGCTGGAGTCAGGAGAGAAAAGCCAGAACTAAAGAGACACTGGAGGAGAGCGCTGTGGCCAAGGGAGCCGAGCAGAGCTCCACCGTGGGAAAGGCCTGGGCACCCCTGAGGACTTGAAAGAGGCCCCTGTCGGCTGGGACCAGGGACAACGGGACAGGGGCCGGAGCCAGAGGAGTAGGGACAGCCCTTGCCCCAAGAGCAGGGTGACCTTACAGTCCCCTATCCCAGCTGAGACACTTCTGTTAGCCATCACCGGGGACCAGGTGGACACTGGCCGAGAATTCCAACCACGAGGTGGAGGAGGCCCCGTCCGACCAGTCTTGTGGAAAGACGACTCTGCCCACAGCACAGAGGAGAGGAGAGGGTGTGGAAGCCATTACAGGTGCCATGAGGCGCAGGAGAAGCAGTGCAGATGGACTGGGGTACGACAGAGGAGCTAGGGGGGCTGAGGGGCCCATGGAACGAGGCCAGCAGGTCAGAGCTGGGCGACAGGGCATGGGGGAAGGAGGGCGGCATCGGGATGACATATGAACCAGATTCCCCTGAGGGAATGACAGCAGAGGTCCGGTCAGCAGAGCCCGGCCTGCTCTCAGGCGTGCCATCTGAGCATGCAGGGGGTGCTCTGACATCTGCTGAGCGAATGAATGGATGAACAGAGGTGTGGGCGAGGCACCTGAGTCCCCCTGTGCGTACATCTAGCAGGCACGGGGGTCTAAGGCTCAGAGTGGGGTCTGGGGTGAGGCTGGAGGGCTCCCTCAAGCCACAAAGCAAGTCATCGTGGGATGGACGGAGGCCACCTTCCCATCGCCATGGGATGCTGTCCAGGGGCCCCAGCGCCCAGATGACATGGGCTGGGTCACGCCTCCCACTCAGGGCTCAGGAGAGCTAGAGGTGCCCTGCAGCACAGCAGGGGGCGGTCACAAATACACTGGAAGATTCCAAATCACACGTGCAGGATGACATACCTGTGCTTCCGAATGCCATTCTCTTGAGGGGGCCTCTCCCCGACCTTTCCAATCCCATTGCTTCTGCCGGTATCCACGCGCATCACTCCAGCAACGCTCTGATCTGCCTCTGAAAATTCCCCGGAAGAGTTCTCAGAATCAAAGCCTGCACACAACAAGCAGAATGGTCATTCTTGCAGGACTGGGAAGACATCAAGCCCCCCTCCAAGAGTCCTGACCATGGAGCAGACTATCTGAAGCCCACATGGTTTCTGACTGACACATGCTGCAACCATCAGCTCTGCCCAGCAAGAGCCCGAGGCCGAGGCCGAGAATGCAGGCGTGCTTGCTCTCGGGGGCTTTGCCGCGAGCAGCTCAGACGCGGCCGCCGCCCGGGGTTCTGCTGTCAGGCGGGGAGCGGTCTGTCCTCGCTCCCGTCCGGGCTCGCACCGTGTGCGGCGGGCCGCCCCGATGGCCCTCGGGCCCGCCTCAAGGCTGCAGCGTGTTCTGCCCCTGCACAAGGTCTGTTCTAGAATACAGGCCACGGCAGTAGCTTCTCTAGTACAGGGACGCCCTGCCGGATTCTCACGCCGTGAGCAAGAACACAAGCATGGCATGAGCAGCTGAAGCTCTGCAAGCATCCCACGTCAACAGAGAGCTCGGGCAGTGGGTTCCTGAGGACTTCCCCACCAGGAGGGCCTTCTCCCAAATGCTACAGGGGAAAGGAGGCCCACTTCCTCTCACATCAGCCGGTACAGCCCACTGAGGCACATGCCTTCTGCTCCCGGGCTCGCTAGCGCTCAGCCGCGGCTGCCAGAACAAAACCCACCCAGCCGGGGAAGGGGCTCCGGGACCACGGCGCTTGGCCGTGGCCGTGGCCGTGACCACTGTAGGGACGACACGAGACCCAGCGGGAGCTCAGTTCCTGCCAGCCCCTCACTTGGCAGAGGAAGGCGAGGCCCAGGGCATAAGGCCAGGCGGGGGAGCGCTGCCAGACCCGAAACATAAACAAATCTGCTGCTACACTTTCCTCAGGATATGCACAAAATCCTCTCTCCCGCTCCTCCACGGTGACAGGTTCGCAAGATGTAGCGCTGATACTTACCACACAATGGCTCTGCAAGGTTTGTTAAAAATGAGCTTCCTAATGATCAATATTCCCTCAAACAGCCTGTCGCCTCTGATCTTGCTACCCACCCAAGAGCAACATCTACTTAATCCCCAGCCTAAACTTCACTCTTTCTTTTTTTTAAGATGTATTTATTTGAGAGAGACAGAGCACGAGCGGGGGGGGGGGGGGGGGCAGAGGGAGAAGCAGACTGCTGAGCAAGAGCGCCATGTGGGGCTTGATCCCAGGACCCTGACTGAGGACAGGACCTGAGCCAAAATCAAGAGCCGGGCCGATGCTTAAGCGACTGAGCCACCCAGGCACCCCTTGCTCCTTTCTTAAGGAGACCCTGTCCTGCAGGACCTGCCTGACCACCCTCCGCCAGCGTCCCTGTCCCCACAGGTCCCTCATCACTAGGAGGTCCCGCCTGAATGTGCACCCAGGAAAACAAGGCAACTCATCACTGACAATCATGCTGAAGTCTTCCCTCAGATCAAGCCAACACTATGTAAACAGGTTAAACATTTTCATATATAACACACATTTATTGTAGAAAACAGAAAAGACAGATAAGTGAAGAAGCCTGAAATCACCTGTAATCTGATCACTCGGAGGCACACACTTCTAACAGGTCGGTCTCTTTCTGTACACGTTTTCCATGCACCTTAAAACCTTCCCCTTGGGGCGCCTGGGTAGCTCAGTCATTAAGCGTCTGCCTTCGGCTCAGGTCATGATCCCGGAGTCCCGGGGTCAAGCCCCAAGTCGGGCTCCCTGCTCAGCGGGGAGTCTGCTTCTCCCTCTGACCCTCATCCTGCTCGTGCTCTCTCTCTCTCAAATAAATAAAATTTTTAAAAAATAAAATAGAAAATATAAAAATAAAACTTTCCCCTTTAACAGTGCTGATCCTTGGCCGAAGGAGCTGCCTACCAAGCCATTCATCTGGTCCGTGCTGGGCTTGGATACTCTGTGCCACTTTTCCCACAGAGCTAGAGTCAGACCAGGCCTCCACAGTGATGCAGTCAGCACCCTGCGTCTCTCCGGGCTGTGTCACTGCACTGGGAGACTCGGTGCTTTTCTTCTATCATCTGGTTTGGAACCGAAGGACTGAGGTGAGAAAGCACTGTCCCCAGACAGCTGCCTCCGCCTATCTCAGGGACATGCCCCTGCCATGAGCAGAGGCAGAGATGAGTTTCTCCAAACAGCACGCTACACAAAGCTCAAGTCCTCTCTGGAGAAAACCCTCCAGGCCAAGTTCAGAGATGTTCAGGAATCTAGCTACACTGGTCCCAGGCGAAAGGAAACTTCCTACGAGACCCCAAAGAGAGGGGTGCGGCAAGGCCGGCTCTCTTGCTTACAGACGCAGTCGCCCCCGCAAGGGCCCGGTGGCCCAAGGGCCTGAGTCCCTATCGACCACCATGCTTGGCGGGAATCAGCTGTGAGCGGTGACTGAGGAGTGAGCAGGTCAGGCAGACCAACGCGCTTCCCAGGAGCACATCTAGGAGGAGCACTGCAGCCATGAGATCACGGAAGAGGACTTAATAATTTGGCCTCTGAAAACCGTAGGCAGCTCAGCGCCTCCTGCTTCTTGGGTTTCAAAGAAGAAGTCAGTAGTCCAGGGCTGCCAGTCCACCAACCCGCTGCGACCCTGGGTCTGGGGGGAGGAGTGTGGCTGGTGAGTGACGGACACCCCGAGAGCCCTGCGGGGGCTCCACGAGACCAATGGGGCGGCACACGCCACCAAGCAGGCCCAGAGGGCACGGTCACAGCAATCGAGCAGGCAGAAGGAGCCCCGCTGACCCGAGAGTCCGTCACTAAAAACCTGGCCCCGAGAAGCAGTTCAGAGTTGCCGTTAAAATCCTCTACCTAACAAGCAGGGAACTGGACTACAAGAGTCTCCTGAAGTCCCTTCCCACCACTAACGGTCCTCAGCAGATGACACACGACGGTCCAAATGCTGACCATGAGGGATGGCGGGAGGAGAAGGAATGGCCAGCTTCAGCGTCAAGGCTCGTGAGGAGCGTACGGTCACGGCGCGCGTGCTGCCTCAGGTGCTCGGGGCTTCTTCCCAGCGACAGGGAGAAGAGGCCGTTCTAAGTCAGCGTGAGCTGGGCCAGCCCAGCCTGCCCTCCCCTACCCCGCGCCCACCCCGCACACGTACACATAGGCCCTGCCACGCACTAGTTCCTGGCAGGCTCACACCGTCATCTATGGGACAGACGACAGGCTGCGTATCAGTCCCGACAACAGTCTTGGGAAAGCGAAGCTAAACCAGATCTAGTTCTAATGTGAAGACAGCAAGGCTTGATCAGTGACTACAAATGACGTAAGAAAACTGAGCATCTCACTTAGGGATGCAAATAAAAGTGTTTACACTCCAGGGTAACTCTTTTTTTTTTTTTTTTAAAGATTTTATTTATTTATTTGACAGAGAGAGACACAGCGAGAGAGGGAACATAAGCAGGGGGAGTGGGGGAGGGAGAAGCAGGCTTCCTGCCGAGCAGGGAGCCCGATGCGGGGCTCGATCCTAGGACCCTGGGATCACGACCTGAGCCGAAGGCAGACGCTTAACGACTGAGCCACCCAGGCACCCCACCAGGGTAACTCTTTTAAAGATGAAACTCGGTTGCCCTTTCTTGTGATCACGTGTGGCCCAGAGCCTCCCCCCACATGCTTCTGCTCAGTTGTCAGTGCCAACGACACTGGGGGGAGGGCCAGGCTCCCAACTGTGGAGTGAACGGTCTTGGATCAAAGGCACAGCTCGGCTTTACCGAGCCTTCTCATGCCCCCAAGGCCAAGTCTGGGACTGGGACACCGCGGCCCCGGAGTCAGTTCCTGCCCCGCTCACCTGTGACGGCATCGAAGAATTCCTCCTCGCCGTTCATCCTTCGGTAGCCGGGCTCCCTTGCCGCCTGGTCTTGGCCTTTCTACGAAGTCATCGTACTGGACCTACATTGACGTGTAAGGAATCGTATGCTATCAACTTTCCTTTTGGTAAAAACCCAACAGGCACTGGAGATCTAAGGGGAAACACATTTCTGTATACTTAGCTTTCAAAAGTTTTATGGTTTAGAAACATTTAAAAAATACCCAATCACCATTCTTGAAATCAATCTCAATTACAATTTAAGCAGAGAAATTAATGATCTAACAAATGTATGATTTCAAAAAATATGAGAGAAACATGCACAATATAAATATCCATCAATGAATAATAGATTAATAAGTAATCATCTGAAGTTATTTTTAAAAATCATTATCTACAGTTGTATAAGAAAATGCTAAACACTAGAATCAACAACACAAGAAACAGCAGGTGTCAGTGAGGATATGGAGAAAAAGGAACCCTCATGCACTGTGGGTGGGAATGCAAGCTGCTGCAGCCACTGTGGAAGACAGTGTGGAGGATCCTCAAAAAGTTAAAAATAGAACTATCCTATGATCCAGTAATTGCACTGCTGAGTATTTACCCCAAAGAAAACAAAAACACTAATTCTCAAAGATAAATGCACCCCTATGTTTACCGCAGCAATATTTACAATAACCAAGATGCAGAAGCAACAAAGTGTCCATGGACAGGGATGATGTGTGTGTGTGTGTGTGTGTGTGTATGGAATATTACTCAGCCATAAGAAGGATGAAATCTTGCCATCTGCAACAACATGAATAAACCTAAAGGGTATTATTATGTGAAACAAGTCAAAGAAAGACTAATACCATACAATTTCACTTACATGTGGAATCGAAAAACAAATGAATAAACAAGGAAACAAACACAAAGCAGAGACAGACCTGTACATACAGAGAAGAGACTGGCGGTTGCCAGGGGGAGGGGGAGGGCCAGGCTCCCAGCTGTGGAGTGAACGGTCTTGGGTCAAAGGCACAGCACGGGGATGTCACTGATGGCGCTGAGACAGTGCGGCATGGTGACAGATGGCAGCTACACTTGTGAGCTCAGCATCACAGGGTTGTACACCTGAGACTAATGTAACATTGTGTCAACTATACTTCTGTTTTTAAAAATAAATTAAAAAAAAAAAGAAAACAACGAGGGGCGCGTCTGGCTCTTGTTTTTAAAGGCTCAGGTCGTGATCTCAGGGTTGTGAGATCGAGCCCCGCAATGGGCTCTGTGCTGGGTGTGGAGCCTGCTTGAGATTCTCTCTTCCTCTGCCCCTCCCACCTCATGCGCTCGCTCGCTCTCTCCCCCCTCCACTCTTCAAAAAAGAAAACCATGGAATGATTGAGGTAGGGGAAGTTGCTGGACAGGCGGAAAGGCAGGTCAGTTGTGGTGAGGTGCTCACACGTCTGGGGTTCCAACACACCCCAGAACCTCCCGCTGAAGGTCGCTGCAAACAAGAAAGTACACAGTGATGTCTGAGTACGTGTGTCACGCCAACTTCAAACCAAGTTTCCATCCCAGAGAATTAAGGCAGCTGGATAAGTGAGCTGCTATTGACACAAACTGAAATCGACTTATATTTTCTCAAAATTATTTTAGCAGAACTCACGCATCCCTTTATGAAGAGCAGTATCTTATAAACAGCAAGAGACTGAAGCAGAAAGTCACCCTTGTCCCAAAAGGTTTGACTTTTTATGAAAACAAGCTGAGTCTATGTCTAACTGTGTTAGTAGCACTGAGGTGGGGCCCAGAGCCCTCCTCCCGGTTCTGAGGGCAGCGAAGGCGCAGACGGTCCCCAGGGAGGGACGTGCCCTCCATCCTTGGACACATCACTGGGTGACGCCTCCAAAGCGGCTCATCTCTGGCCCTGTCCTGAGCATACGCGAGCTTCCACACTATGAAACAAATCGGCATGAAGTTACTCCATTCTTCCTGCCCTGAAAGGTTCTCTCAGAGATCCCTTTCTCTTTCCCACCATGCGGAGCCAGGCACTGGGCAGCTTCTGGAAACATCCATACAAAGCCTCACTCAGCAGTCCAGGATTTGTTGCCTGAGCACATTAGACAAGTTACTGCTTCTTCCAATTCCTCTCCGACATGACCTGGCCCATCTACAACACATAACCACTCAAAGGAACCAGGGTCCCTGGAGGAGAAATGGCGGAATCCAGGACTGGGATCCCTCTCAGGCAGCACGAAGCCAGCGGGTCGTGTCACAAGGCTCAGGATGAGCCCACAGAGGCTCCCGCTGCAACAAGGGAACCGACCGGGCGCCAGCACACAGCAAGAGACAGAGACACGTCGGACACAGCTAAGCCCTCGAGCTCCCACAGATGCTGGGAAGGAGACAAGGTGGTCACCCTGGGTGATGCCCACACACCCTTCTGAAACCAGTCGGCAACAGGGGAGCACCAAGCCTCCACCCAGCCTTCTTTCCTGCGCGGGCTCTGGGCCCCCGTCGGGCCGAACGACAGAGAACTGCCCCTTGACAGCCGGGCTCTGACAAATCCGTGCAGAGGCAGTGAGAGTGAGGGCACAGCACTGCTGCGTGACCCGGACGAGAGACCGCGTCCCGTGCCGTCCCCGTGCCGCCCACCAGCAGAGCTGCGGGACCCGAGCCGGGTGCACCATGTGCCCCCCCGCACAGGAGCGTGCCGCCCCCTCTCCGCCGTTGCGCCCAGAAACTCCAGCCCAGACGTGGCCCGGCCTCCAGCTCTAACCACCACCGTCAGGAACACGGAGAAACACACTGAGCTCCAGCCCGACGACAGAGTCGGCAAAACCCAGACTCTCGGGAAGCGTGCAGGACAGACCCAGCTTCTCAGAGCAACAGAGCACAAAGGACGGGGAGGGCGCGGGGAGGGTGGTCCCCCGGGTGCTGGGGCCCGTCAGCTACGCGTCCAACCGCACCCGGGAATGGTCGGCAGGCACCGCCCAGGACGACCGCGCGGCGGACAGTGGAGGCCGGCCTGCGATCCCGACTGAGCGGGGAGGGTCGGGGTGTGTACGTGGGTCAAAACTTACGGTTCGGCTCACGTATGGCTACTTCGTTGGACATCACTTAAACCTCAAATAAGGTACTTTTTAAAAAAAGGCCCAGGTGTCGTAATGGCATTCTTTACAAGGGGCCTTCTCTTTAGAGCTACACACTGAAATCCGGGTGGACGGAAGACACGTTGGGAGCTTCCTCCACGTAACTTGGAAGCAGACGGCGGGGCCGACCTGCGGCCGAAGCCGGTCACTGCGGAAGCCGGGGTGTCCGCGCGGGGGGCCCTCGGGCTCTGCCGCCTGCCTTCCTGTGCGCTGACGATCTCCCAGGATGAAAGGTACCTTAAAGGCCATGACGTTTTCCTTTTTTATACACTTTCTCACCCAGAACAAAAGTCCTAATGTTAACAGTAAGTCAATCAAAATGTATGGAAATCTTCACACCGAGGCTCTGGCAGGCTGGACAAACGCTGGCTATCAGCCCGGCCTCCGCTGAGGAGCGGACCCTGCCGGGAAGGCCTCGCTCATAAACCCCACCCGAGCGCTCCACAAGGCCAATGACGGAGTTTTCATAGTACCCCTCAGGCTGGCTCACATTTTACAAGTTCAGTAATTAATTCCAACGGTCTCGAGGTAATTCCTGAAAGAGCGGTCTTCTTTACTTTGCCTGGGCAATCGAACTCCCCACTGCCACAGACCATCAATACGAAACGGCGACTTCCCTCACAGCTTCCACAAACATTCGCCAACTGCCACCTGGTACCAGGCCTGGGGGGGGTGCTCTGGGAGGCCTCTGTGGGGCAGGCTTCCCGTGAGCATTCCAGCCCTGGGTCCTTCACACGCCCGCCCACCCACCTGACCTCGTCGCACAGGAGGAGGCTCCCGCTGCCCTGGGCCCTGCAGCGCTTGGTCATCCGCCTGCAAGCTGAGCCGCCTGGGGCGCTGGACGTGGGTCTCCCACCCCCAAATCTGACCCACACACCCTGTGGAGGGGAGTGCAGGGCCCTATGCATAAAGCCCCCCCTCCCCAGGCAAGAAAGATATGCACCTGAGGGCACTTAGGCTTTGTAACTCAGCCCTCTACCACAGTAGACGGATGTACAGAAAGTCAACTGTTCAAGAAACAGCATCAACAAGAAGGCAGAATTTAGTATTTCCTACATATGTTCTTCTTCAGGCAGATTTTATTGTGCATCCATGAAGACAGTATTTCAGGAAAGGATTTTTTTTTTTTTTTTTAATTAGCTGTTTCTGTTCAACTGTCCCCTCTTCTAACTGCAGAGAAAACCCAGGAAACTAAGCCTGTATTGCGCATCTTCACTGGCTTCCTGTCATCTTGCTGTCCTTCTGCACTGCCCTTAGGCCCAAGGGCGATGCCACAGGGCTGACCTGGCCTCATGGAGGGAACAGACGAAGGAGGCAGAGGTCTTGATCCCTCCATGTGGGGACCTCCCACCAGGGGTTGCAGTGAACCCTCACTCCCAGCCTCTTCAGGGGGACACCAGCCCAGGACACCACCATTCCTCCCAGTCTCCCACAAAGTGCCCACTCCCTTGAGAAGAGCCCCATCCGGCTCTCTTCACAGCATGCCCTGACTGCCATCCATACGGCCAGGAGCCTGACTCCAAATGCAAAATGTCCCACTACCACTCGTACAAATACAAGTACCCCTGTACAAATACCACTCCAGGCTTGCAAATCCACCTGTACGATTCTCCTGGAAAAACAGATGTACTCACATTGGAGTAAGTGACTAGCTAAAGGACCCAGAGGTTAATCTTCGTGGTCACAAGGTGTGATCTTCACAAAGAAAGAAAAAGACACTAGCAATATGAATATTCTAAAAGTACTTTTATAGATAAATAAATGAGTTCTATTTAATAATTTAAAAATGCATTGGCAAGCATCAACCAGATGGAAGGTATGTAAGGAAACAGAGGACTTCACACCACCAACCAAGCAGGTTGAAGACGCACACAGAAAGTGCCACCCAACAGCACCAGCAGATACACGTTCTTCTCAAGCACACGGGACAGTGTCCAGCAGAGACCACATGTTAGGCCACAAATTGCATCTCAATAGATTTCACAAACTAGACCTCATGCAAAACATCTCCTCTGCCTGTGAGGCAATGAGTTAGAAATTAATAACAAAAGGAAAACCGGAATATTCACAAAACTGTGGAAATTAAATGGCAGGCTCCTAAGTAAGGGATCAAAGACATCACAAGAGAAATTAGAAAATACTTAGAAACAAATGAAAATGAAAATGCAACATATGCAAACTTAGGAGATGTGGCGAAAGCAGTGCTGAGGGGAACTCGATGAAACAACACCAACATCAAAAAATAAGAAAAAAGTCTCAAATCAACAACTTTACAATCGAAGGAAAAAGAACAAATACCAACGTTAGCAGATATAAGGGAATAAGAAGAATAGAAAAACAGAGAAAAATCAATGAAACCAAAACTTGGTTCTCTGATAAGACCAACAAAATTGATCACCTGCAGCTAGGTACACTAAGAGAAAAAGAGACAATATGCAGCTACAATTGGACATTACTACCGAGTCTACATAAACAGACAGGACTGAATGAGAGTGCTGTGAGCAAGGGCACGCCAACCAACTGGATACCCTCACTGCAATGGACAGATTCCCAGAGAAACACAGGACCCACCGAGACCAGCTCACAAAGAAACAGAAAATCTCTGACTAGTACGGAGATTGAATCAGTGATCAAAGATCTCGCAGTGAAGAAAAGCCCTGGGCCTGATGGCTTCACTGCCTAAAACTGGGCTTCCGTCACGCCTGTCAGAAACGGAGGTGAGTGGGCAGCGGCCGCCTCCACCAGCAGCTGCAAGGCTCTCAGCACCCTGTGGCTCTTAAGGTCAAGGCCAAACGCTTCTGGAAAACTGTGCGTATCCACAGTGCCGAGGACACGGGGAGCCTCAGGCTAGTGATGGAGAAAACCAAAGTCTCCGCTGCCTCCCTGCAGGGGCTCTCCTTCCCCACGGGCAGCCTGGCGGGCAGACCCTGGAAAGATGCTCCCACGACACCAAGATGTTATCAGAGTGGCCCATCAAGAACGGGAAACACT